ATTGTACTCGGGCTTGGTGAGGCTGCAGCTAGAGTACTGCATCCAGTTTTGGGCTTCACAATTCAAAAAGGACATGGAGAAGCTTGAGAAGGTCCAGAGGAGAGCCACACACATGATCAGAGGTCAGGAAAACAGACCCTATGATGAGAGGCTGAGAGCTATGGGACTCTTCAGCCTGGAAAAGCACAGGTTCAGGGTGATCTTGTGGCTGCCTATAAGTTTATAAGGGGTGACCACCAGTATCTGGGGGTATGTTTGTTCACCGGAGCTCCCCAAGGGATGACAAGGTCGAACGGTCACAAACTCCTCCTTTTCAGACCTTTTCAGGCTGGACATAAAGAAGAACTTTACTGTCCGAGCCCCCAAGATTTAGAATAGATTGCTGCTGGAGGTGGTTCAAGCACCTACTTTGAATGCCTTCAAGAGACATTTGGATGTTTATCTTGCTGGGATCCTATGACCCCTGCTGACTTCCTGCCTCTGGGGTAGGGATCTGGACTCAAAGATCTTCCAAGGTCCCTTCCAGCCCTAATGTCTATGAAATCTATAAATCCATCTCTTGGGAGTTCCACCATTTGGGGCTGAAATACTTAGGAATGTTCTTGTAAGATGTCAATATTGTGTAACTGAATTAGGACCTAAATCCTGACCCTCATTTGTCTGTTGATTTCAGTACTACAGCTTAGCCTGAACAATGTCTATTTGGCCTACATTTAGGCATTGTACCTTTTTTTCCTTACTTAACTAGGTGATTGGGGATGCAATTGAAGCTTATCCAAAAACTCAGCGTATTAACTGGGTAAGGGAGTGGCCTGGACAGACAGTTCTTTGTGTATCCCAAGCTTTCTGGACATCAGAGGTACAAACATCCATTAGAAAAGGTCAAAAGGTAAATATAATTTTGTATATACACTGTATAAACAAATGCAATTCTGAACTTTTGTACAGATATCTGTTTAGAATATAATTGCTACACTTTAAAGGTGTAACTGAACACTAAGTTTTGATTAATATAAAGGGAAATATTTCTTCTTTGTTTTAGGTAAAGATTCATTATTATAAATTTTGTCCAAGTGCATCCTCTGGCACAACTGTGTATGTATCTTAGAATTTTTTTTCTAGGTTCTCAGGTGGTCCCAATTGGCATTGGTCCTCTATTTTTCTTGGATTTAAAATACCTATGAATGTGACAGTTACAAGATAAGTGAGGGCAACCACAAGGTCACAACCAGATGAGTGATAGGTGTTTGCCTGATCTGATGGTCAGCTTTAAGTCTTTATGTGCAGGGGGCAACTTCATCCTAATGTGCAGTGTGCCCAAAGAGTGAAATTTCAATGTCTTCTTGATCAATACTTCAATATCCTCATTTGTGAAGGTGTGGGGAGCTGTGGGTGTGTGTGTGGCGGTTGTAGCCCGGGAAGTGGGGTCCCTTCATGCCCTGGCAGGATGTGGGGTACTGTGGGTCAAGAGTGAGGGGCAGTAGCAAGGCTGGGAGGGCTGTGGCTTGGGAGTGAGGGGCAGACACACATACACACACACCATTCCACAGGTAAGTCTGTGGAGGGAAGGGGCAGGGGGAGAGGAAAGTGGGGCAAATTGAGGCCCCACAGTGAGGGAGGGAATGGGGCAGGCACTCGTGTGAATAGGACCCTGGGGCTGGGGCAGGTCATGGGATGGAGCCATGGGTGGTTTGTCCAGGGGCATGGCTCTCTGCCACTGCCCGCACCTGTGGGGAGGCATGGGGGACACATGCCCCCCAGATTTGTGGGCAGAGCAGAGGTGAGTTGCCTGTTGCGGGCTGGGGCTCTGCCTCCTGCTGCCTTTGCCCTGGGAGCCATGAGCTGGCCGTGCCACATGTCCCCTACCCACCCGGCCATGGGAGGCAGAACATGGCATTACATAGCTCCCAGAGCAAAAGCAGCGGGATGCACAGCACTAACCCACAGCAGGCAGCCCATTTCCACCTGATGCACAAGTCCAGGGAGGCACATGCCCCCCATGCCTTCCCTGGGGCTGTGTGCAGTAGCCAACCCCCCCCCACATTCATCAACAAGTCACCCACAGCTCTGTTCCATAACCTGCCCCAGCCCGGGGTCCCATTCACTCCAGGCCTTGCCCCTGCCCCACTCCATCCATCACCGTGGGGGCCTTGATCTGCTCCCCCACTTCTTCCCTCCCCCACACCCTCCAAAGACTTACCTGCAGGGTGCTGCTCTACATGCAGCTGGGCTACTTTCCTGGCTGTATGCAGGCTGCGGCTGCTCCTGTGCATCTCTGTCTGTGCACGCCCCCCTCACTGCTGCAACCGCCTGGAGCCCGTGCCCAGGCTGCCCTGCAGCTCCTCTGCACTGCCACTGCTGCCCCACTGGGCAGCCTGGAGGTGGCGGTGATGTCAGTGGAGCAAAGCCTGGGTGTGGGCTTCCAAGCCACATGTACAATTAATGCATTAACAAATTAACAAAAGAACCAATTAACACATTAATCTGTGTTTAACGTGTTAATCATGATTAATTGACAGCTCTACTGGCAATCTGTGTGAAATGCCAGTCTGAGTCTTTCTACATGTTCAGGATCAGTGTAGTAGCCCAGGTAAGACATAGGTTTGGTAGATGTTGGCTTTCATGCTAAGTGCAGCACAAGTTGTCTCTATAACCTCTACCGTGAATCTATTACATATGACTTCAGAGCAATCCTTTGTACAACATCTAGCAGAAATCTGCCCTGAAGATGGACCCAAAATAATAAAGTGTTCATTTAACTCAGTGGAATGAGTAATAATTTGTAGATCTGCATGACTTGTCCAGCTACTAAATTCTGAACTTTGGTCTTAGTCCAGGGGTAAAAGAGACCAAGTGAGGCAGTGTTTGTTATTTTAAAAAAAAAACAGACTAAAAAAATCCTGCCTTCTCTGAGTGCTTGGACATATATATATATCCTACTCCCATTGTACATGCGTCCTATTCTCTTGATATCAAAGTCTTTTGGGAAAGTGATATAAATGTCCTCATAAAGCTGTCCAATTTCTGTTTGCTGCCTAGTACTAAATCCATTTTGTACTAGCCAGAGTCCTGTGTGACTACAAGCTGCGTGTGAGAGTAGGGCAACTCTGCCAAAATGCCATACAGGATCAGCTACTGAAGTCCATGTTGATTTTGGTTGGCACAGTACCTGTGAACTACACCATCCCAGGCTGTGACAATCAGCTGCATCTGGACATCGTTGTATCAGAGGAGGGCAGTAAAAAGATCCTGATGGTTGATGTGACCATCCTATTTAACACCTGACAGCAGGCTTTTGCTGAAGTCTGGGAGTGAAAGCTGTCCAAATACAGGCCACTGAATGACACCCTGAGGGAGAAGAGGTACAACACAACAGTGCAGGCACTGATCATTAGGGTACTTGGAGCATGGGACCCAAGCAACAAGTGTCCCACCCCACTACTACTCAAAGCTGATGAGTTGCCTTATGTTACCTGTTACTAGTTGGTGGTCAAGGGACATCCATGTTGAACACATTAGGGGGCATCACCAGCATGAATACAAGATGAAAACAGCCAGCTGAGATTGCACAGCCTCTCTCAGTACCAGTGCTTAACCACCTTCACAACTAGAGAATTATCTTCTTAATCTCCAACCCATTATGTTTTCCCCTCTTCCTTGAGACCTCAAAAGTAATTGATCACCATCATGTTTATAACAACCCTGTTCTTATTTAAAATTATTATCATAGTCTCCTTTAGTCTTCTCTTCTCCAGACTGAAAGATCTCAGTTCTTCAAACCTTTTTAACATTTTCTTGACCTGAAAAAAAATGTTCCATCTACAAGTGTAATTTTTTTCTATATGCATTCTCTATTGAGGTCCTTATTAATTGTAACAGCTAATTGAATAAAATGTCTAAGCAACAGAAAAGAATAACGCCAAAAGAGTGTAAAACAAAACATCTTGATTTATTTTGCAGTAAGAGCTGTTGTTTTGTGAGAACTTCAAATAAGGATAGCAAAATACCAGGCTCTGCTGGTCTGCTATGATTTTATGAACAAGATATGGCTTTTCTGGACAAACTGTATATAATTGAAAAGAGTTTTCTTCATTAATTTCAGGACAGTTAGTCATCTTTCGAGCAGCACTTGAGAAGGCCAGTGTCATCTGAACTTTAAGAGGTTTAAGGTGTATGTAGAGCCCCAGCTGATACTGATGTTGAATGTCCAGAATATTTGTACACCAAGAGTGGAATCTGGGTGCTATATGTTAGAACTCCAGTTACTGTATACACAAACATCTTTCATTTCCTACAGAGCACTCCTTAGCAGCCTATCCTGAATAAATGTGACTTTGTTCCCATTTTGGTTACCAGTACAGTTGAACACTTCAGCATATGCAGAATACCTGGGACACTTCCTGAACAAGGGTGCTTTCCTCTGTGTTGGGTTTATTGCTTGCTACGATCTTTTTATCAAAGGAGAAACAAACTCTCCCTGCAGGAGAAACAGTAAAACTGACTAAACACAAAATGCTGCTAATGTATTAAGCTAAAAACAAAAAATCCTGAAAAATTACATAAAAATAATAAGTTAATTACTTCATAATTATAATTATCGTTTTCTTTAAGTTATAGGTATCTTTGTTATTACTTATTTCTATAGAAGCCACAATATTTCAGACACAAACTTGATAATCAGGTTTACAATAATACACTACAGAGAGTATAATTCATATGCATGTATTCAACACTTTTAAGATGCTATTGTTATTTTCATAATCCAAGGGAGAATTATAATAGAAGCTCTGATATTTCTATATCACAAGAAATACATGCATACATACATACATAATAATAATTTTTTTTCTACACATTGTGTGTTAAAAATAAAATGTAGAAGCAACTGACAACCTCAGATGAAATATATCAGTGGAGGTAAGGAAATTTGCATTCTTTGTCAGAATAAACATATTAAATACACAAACATTGAGAATTAATGGTAAAATAAGGTTTTTTGGTAGTTCCTTAGATTAGGCAAGCAACATATTCACTATTTTAAATTCTCTCAGGCACTTGAGGATTACCTGGAACAGAATACTGGACAGATTGAGGACATTGTCAGCTTGGTGCGAGGAAAGCTGTCCAAGCAGAATCGTGTTACTCTTGGAGCACTTGTTGTGCTGGATGTTCATGCTAGGGATGTTCTTGCATCTCTAGTAATCAAGAAAGTCAAAGATGAAAATGACTTTGAATGGTTAAGCCAGCTTAGGTACTACTGGGAGGTAAGTGATGCCTTGAATCCTATTAGAAGGTAATTTCTGTGCACGGCTTTTCAATTTGTGCTTGCTTGCTGTGTCAGGGAATAGTTACTTTAATATGAGAATTTTTGCTGATGATAAAATATATCTAACCAATCATTCTGCAGATTGCAAGGTAAAATGGCCAATAGCCATACATATATGCTTTCTAATTAAAATTGCTTTTTTCATCACTGTGGACTGTCAGTGCACTTGCTGAATCTGCAGAAGGTTTATAGATAAAATTTGTTCAGTCAGAGACTAGTTTGGTTTCCTGATGCTGCTGGATAGGAGAGAAGTTTTTAGCAGCCTCATGCTTTGAGTTAAAGGTTTTTAACTGAAATGTCAGTATTTCTGCTTTATGAGTATACATTATATGTCTTGGTGAAGAGAGCAATATTAGTACTGGGTAGAGATAATATACCACATATTTAAACATTGCATTCATCAAGAGATATCCCATAATGAAGAGCAGCTTGCTACAGTAATTAGAAACATGTTAGGAACACCTGTTGCCAGAAAACTAAAATCACCATGCTAGCATATTGTGAAGAAACTTGTTTGGCTTTTTTGTTTTTTTGTTTTTTTTTCTGAGATTGCCAATTGATCTTTGCATACCTAAGCATGATCTCTTTGGGCACACTAAGATTTCTAAGTCTTCTTTTGCAAGTCTTTGTTGCCCGATTTTGAATTATGTAAATTGGTAAATATCTCAGGATGGATTTATATTATTTGTGCATAAAAATATTACACCCATCAAATGCTAATGAACTTTAGCCAATGTTCACATGTTCATATTGAAAATAGTGTTCTACAACAGTTATTCTCAATTGTTTTCATATTACAGCCAGTTACTTAAGACAGAACTTCCTGTGGCCTCCCCTCCTGCATCCCACATTAATCTGGTGGCAACTATATTGATTCATTTTTATGAATAACTGATGCTAAGCTTAATGATAGAGAGACAACTTGAAATAGTTTGTTTTAATGCAGCAGGTTGCATCTCTATAGTTTGTACTTACGTGAGAGTTTACATTTATATATACTGAATTTCCCCTTATTTCCTCTTCATTCTTACAGATCTAATATCCTCAGGACATATTTTAGTTTTATTTCTATATTTACTTTTCTCCATTTTACAAATTAGATCAGAGCTGAATATACTGCAAATGAGCATCTGACAGACAGAAGAGAAGCTGAGCATAAAGAGGGGCTTGGGGTTTTGACTTTAATTGATTAAAAAACTAGTGAGAATTATTATTGTTGGCACTAGATTTATGACCCAGATACTTTGTTTTGGGCAGACCCAAACCCTTAGACCAACCACAGCTTCTTCATTCAGTAATAGGCAGATTTTATTGATACACAGTGATAGCAGATAAGAATGATGCAGGCAAAACAAAGTAACCCACCCCAGTTCTATATCTACCAGTCCTAGAGCTGTCACAAAGGGAAGGTATGTCTGCCAGTATGCAAGCTACACCCTGAGGTTCTTCCTTGAATGTCAGAGGTCAGCAGCCTGAAGGTCAAGGGCTGAGGTGCATCCACCCCTAGTGGGAAGGGTGAGGCTGGCTGGCAATATGCCCTCTGTCCATGGTGGCCTTCGGCTCCCCTCTTGGGGACCCTTTGGTGCTCTGAAATTCCTCCTTTTGTATTCTTTGGTCTCTCTGATGATTCTTCATCTCTGGGCATTGTTAATTGGTTTCCCTGTGGTCGTCATCCTGTCCATGTTCTGTCCTGTCGGTATTCTTTTGTTCCAGCAAAACCATCACACGCAGACTTCTTAATTTGGTTATTTACCGGGCCTCATAATTTGGTCTGTTCACCAAAGCCAGAAATCCCAAGGGTTCTGTAGTTGGGCACTGTGACCTGGCACAGTCCCTTATCCCTGTTAGGGTTCACTGTTCATGTTATGGAACAGTGTGGTACATGTCTCCAATTTCCCAGCGTGTGTGTCTGCTTGCTTCAGACACAGTAGGAAAGTAGGAAACTTTGTCACAAACAGGCTTTTAGAAACCAATTAACTCTTGCTGTTCCCCTGGACCATTGTTCTAATGAGTATCTACTTTACCTACAAGCCAATTCCTAAAAGCAAACCTCTAAATGCCATTTTCTAGCCATTAATGATAAATCAAAACAACTGCAAGATTCCTCACTGCTTGGAAACTAACAGATACAACACCACTGTAACAAAACAGCTCTGTATAGACTTACGAGAAGAATTGACTTATCATATATTAGTTATTATTAATTAGTATTATGCTAGTTTTTAGAGACCCAAGTCAGAATTATGTCTGAATTATACTAGAAGCTATATGGACATATACAAGATTATTACAGTCCTGAAGAGTTTTTGTCTAGAGGACCAAGAGATGAAAGATTACTTATCTCATTAATACACTGTAAGCTATGCAGTTTGCAATACACTTGTTTCTAATAGCAGCAAATCTAGCTGCAAATTTAAGGGATTGTCTTTATTTTATTTTGCTTTAATCTATAAATTTTAAATATTATTTTCATAGGAAGGGCATCTACAAACAAAGATGATCAACGCTGGTTTGAAATATGGATACGAGTATCTCGGCAATACTCCTAGGTTGGTTATTACTCCACTTACAGACAGATGCTACAGGTAAAAACATAAATAAGTACCTATGTTATGGGCATGGAATTTATCCAATAGAACTAACTGAAATGGGACTTCAAAATAGGTGTCTGCCAAAAAAGAATGGCAATTCTGTTTTACTGCTAATTTTTATTGTTCTCATCATCATAATTTGGTGGTGGGCAAAATATGGCCTGCAGGCTGGATTTGATCCACCAGGCCATTCTGTCTGGCTCACGGGGCCCCTAAAAAAATTAGTAAATTAATATTTATTTTCTCCTGGCTGTCTGTCAAAGCTGACAGGAGCCAGGGGCAGTAGGACCCAAGGGGAGCCCTCAGCAGGACTGAGCAGCCCAGCACTGCCCCTCCCCCAGCCATTTCACTCTGTTCTTCCCCCCACACTGCTCTGGCACCACATAGCTCCCAGTTGCATCGCTGGACTGGGGAGCATGGGGCCATGCCAGTACGTGTGTATGTGTGTGTGCATGCATGTGCACGGAGGCAGGGGCAGTGTGTGTGTGTGTGTGTGTGTGTGTGTGTGTGTGTGTGCGCGCGCGCATGCAGGGGCAGTGTATGTGTGTATGTAGGGAGGGGCAGTCTGTGTGTGTGTAGGCTGAGGCAGAGTGTGTGTGAGTGCAGGCAGGGGCAGAGAGTGTGTGTGTGTGCAGCAAGGGAAGAGTGTGTGTGTGTTCATAGGGTGAATCCCACACGCACACCCCAGCCACCCTCCCCCAACACACAGCCCCCACAAATGCCATACCCACCCTCTCCCACATACCCACAGCCCCCCATAAACCTGTACACACACCCCACAACATACAAGAGTAAGAATTCATTTTAAGCTATTGTATTACCTCTGTGTACACTACACAAACACATGTAAATCAGGACAAAAATATTTTTTGAAATCAAATTAATGAATGTTATAGAGGTTTGCCTTTTAGAATATAATTTGGTATTTTTCTGGTTCTGAGATGGGAAAACCCTTTGCTGAAAGGAGTACTTCCAGGGGAAGGGGAGGGACTGCAGCTGGCAAAGGTCAGGGGTTAGGGGGTGGGACTTCCAGGCACAAGATGGTGACTGGGAGCAGGGCACCTGTCAATGGGTGGGGCTACCCATACAGCCCTCGACAAAATAATTGCCTGGTTCTGTCATAATTGCATTATGGTTCATTGATTTAAATTAGGTACATGTTAGTATTCGTATTTAAATTTGTGATAAAACAGATTTTTGAGACAGTAACATTATTTTTAGTACGGGGTAGGAAATGTAACCATAACAATGAACCTATCTACTTCATAAACAAAATCATGCACTCATTTTTTTAAGTGTGATATAGGTGATTATATAAATGCAAAAAGAACAGTGATTTTTTGTGTGGATTCCATCTGAGTCTGAAGTTCTACAAGTGTGAGAAATCTTTTAGAATTTTAAACTAAACAAATTTTACATTAAATAAATAATAGAGTAATCCAATGGTGTCAGTTTCACTGAACCATTTTTAAGTCTGTACATACATTTTATGCTAAGAGGTAAGATATGGATAATGACTAGTATGTTAAGAAACATTCTGGACTTTTTATCCAGGACTGCAGGGCTGTAGTTTCCAACTACTGATAGTTAATATAGAATATTTGAGGAGGAAATATAGTGGATTTGCTGGATTTCTTTCTTTTTTAACTGAATGGAATTTGAATATTTAATTTCTTTGAAGCAAACGTGAACGTCAGTTTTTAAAAAATTTTCGGGCCCCCTCTACACGTTACAGGTGCAGTTACCTTGAAATCAGCTACATGTGCAAAGTAGTTATAATGCCATAAAAATTTCCATCCAGCAATAATGTTAGATCTTGAAACTGTATACAAACTTTATATCTGACTGCTATCAAGCTTTAATTTGCATATGGAGCAGGGTCTCCCCTGAGGCTGGTAGCCCTGTCAGCTGCTGAGGCTTTCAGCCTCAGGGTTGTACAAAGCTCACCCAGGACTTGGAGTCCCACAACTCTGGGGACTCTCATCCCAGCTGCTGCCAACTCTGGGTCCTGGCATCATGGGGACACGGAGTTCTGTAGCTGCAGAAGCTGGGTGCTAGGACCCAGCTTGGTCCTAGCAGCTGGTGGGGTCTGGCTGCCCCAGGGGTGCGTGAAACCCCTGGGGCTGGGGGATTGCAGCTGTTGTGATCCCTCAGCCCCAGCCCCAGGTTTGCATGGAGTACCCCTGTGGCTGGGAGCCCCTCATCTAAGGGGGCTCCCAGGTGTGGGAGCTCTGGCAATAAGGTGTGATGGGATCTTATCCATGATCCCACAGTCATGCCTCCTGCCATGCACGTGTAAATCTCATCATGCCTTTACCTGCATGTGTAGAGGGGCCTCCAATAAATGTTGGGATAAGTGCAAATATGGCATGTGTTACCAGCGATAGAATGGAAAATGACCCATTCTTACCAATATTTTTCTTTTCAAAAATTTCAGAACCCTTTTTGGAGCACTCCGTCTTCACCTGGGAGGTGCCCCTGAAGGTCCTGCTGGAACAGGGAAAACTGAAACTACAAAAGACTTAGCCAAAGCTGTAGCTAAGCAATGTGTGGTTTTCAATTGTTCTGATGGATTGGATTACCTTGCGTTAGGAAAATTTTTTAAGGTTTGGATACATCTTGAGAGCCAGATTCCCAATTACTTTTAGATCCCTTATGCCATTCTGACATTGTGAAATAGTTGGTCCTTTGGTGTTGGAACTTACTTCTTTGTCCCAAATAGAATGTAAAACATGCAAAATCTGTATATTTGATGAGGCTTTTGGAGACAGGGCAAAGGGAATCAGGTTTTGGGTGGACTGAATGCATTTGTTGTTCCAATGTATTGACAGACAAATTAGTATTATTTATTGTGTAATTCTGCTAGGATATATTATTGTATGGATTATTAATTTGGTTAATTTCTATAGTTTTTGTGTAGTGTTCTTTTTGCATTAAATCTATTTTTTTCATTAGATAAATGATTCAGTTATTGTGACACTGAAAAGCAATAGTTTGACTGAACAAATTTGCTTTTTTTTTAGGGTTTGTTATCTTGTGGAGCCTGGGCTTGTTTTGATGAATTCAACAGAATTGATTTAGAAGTACTTTCTGTTGTTGCTCAACAAATTCTTACTATCCAAAGAGGTAATTATTATTTTATTTGCATCTTCTGTGCTAAGTATGAAATAAAATTAATAACATTAAAAATAATTTTTCGCTGGACTCTAATTTTCATTTTTCTACAGGTATCAATACAGGCTCTGACTTACTAGTATTTGAAGGAACTGAACTGAAATTAAACCCTACGTGTGCTGTTTTCATTACCATGAATCCAGGCTATGCTGGGCGTTCAGAGCTTCCAGATAATCTTAAGGTATAGTGGACAGTAGTTCATGATAATTATTATGCTTGAACTTTTATTAATTTTTTAAAGTTAATAAACACAGTGAAAGGAGAAACAATATTTTTGTCAAATAAATAAATAATACTATTTAGTACCACTCAACCCAATACACCAAACTCACCAAAAAATTGTATTTTCCCATCAGGGAGCACCTCTACACATGCACTTTAATGTGCAGTAGACGATTTTACTGTACATTAAGGCGTCATGGAAAAACCCATGGCATTATGCTAATGCACAGTAAAATAGTCTACTGCACATTAAGCATCACTAAAAAAGTGTGCAAATGTGCATGGATTTAGTATCTCAAATTGCTGCTGTCCTGTGCACATGTGTAGATGCTGCGCCTGGGAGTAGTTTTCTCTAACTCACATTTCTCTGGAGTTTATTGCTTCAAATTAATTGAACATGTAGACTTACCAAGTAAGTACAAATTCTCTAATGTGAATTGGTTTCTTGAATAATGATGTAGGAGTCCTTCATCAGAATTACTGAAAAAGAAATTACTGGTTGTTCTGCTTGATCTAGCAGTCCATATTTCTAGAAAGTAAGGAAGAGCATTTTAAAGTACATGAGCCCTGAAAAAGATTTCTAAATTATGGGTTTAATACGGTCATGAGTCCCAGTATATTCTGAGGTGTTTATCAGATGTTATACATGTTTTCTCAGCTTTGTTTTACTGATATGGGGAGTGTAGTCTCATTGAAAAGCCAATATTATGTTATATTAATTTAAGTCACTTTTATCACCATATGGATTATGTTATGCTGTCTGTGGGCATGTCCACACATGCATTAATGTGCTTTAGCTAATGCATATTAAATTTAGTACCTCCATTGTGAGGTACTAAGAAAATGTACATTAGCATATCTTAATGTGCATTAACTAAAGAGCATAGTTTTTAAGTGACACTTAATGCACATTAGCTTATTTTAATGTGCTGTCACCATGCTGGGCGATGAGGCTCCTGGGGGTCTGGGGAGCAGGGGACTTCCCCCCTGACAAACCCTGATGGGCAGGGGAGTGAGACCCAGACAGAGCTGAGGTTTGGCTTACTGGGCTTCCAGCATGCTGATCCCAAGAGGCGGAGGTGCATGCTGTGTTCCCATGGCGTTTTAAGAGCATGCTGTCTCTGCGTATGGGGAGGCGCATGCTGGATGACATAAAAAAATGTGCCCTGGGCCCCAGCATGGCCTGGAGAGTGGCGCAGGAGCAACAGCAGCAGGGGCTGCAAGAAACTTCCCTGCACACCAGACAGGACACAGCGAGGATGCTGGGGAACTGGCCGGGAACCAGACTGGGGGAGATCCAGAGGGATCTCTACCCCCAAAGATAGACAGTGGTGGGTGAGAAGTCAACTGGTGGGATCTGCCCCACCAGTGAACCCAGAGAGTGGGCATCAGATGTGTGAGTCCAAACCTCCACGAGGTGGTAATGCTTGAGGTGCCCGGGGAGTTTTTGATTTCTAGTTTCCTTTCTAAGTTCCTTTTCCTTTTGGAAATGAGGCCTGACCCAGGAGGATCCTGGCACAGCCCATGAAGGCCCAGTGGGAGGAGCCAGGGGGCCCCAAACATACCTAAGGGGGACGGCCCAAGCAGGGAAGAATGACCGGCTATCCTGACCCTGGGGAACAGGTTGCGAGTGAGATGCCTGAGGGTGGAACCCTGGCATTGCAGATAATGAAGATGAGTACGGAGGAGAGTTGACCCACATTCAGAAGGGGGCACTGAAGTAGTTTTGTTTTGTGTGGCAGCTGAGTGTATTTTTGCTGCGACTTGAGTTTTGGCTGGCAAGTGGACGGGGTGTAGGTGAGGCAGAGTCTGAAGTCACTTGCTATAGCACTGAGCTGGCCTGGAGGTGGAAGAACACCCCCATCTCTGAAGGAACCTCCTATTCCATCAACATTTATTTGACAAACGAGACGTGGCAGGCGAGTGGAAGGGCGTGGAACATCCCCATGTCAAGAGGCTGCAAGTGACCGGTGGCTTGAGAACAGAGGGCCTAAAGGGCGACAAACATCATGGGCATTGTAATATTTAAGCCTGTGACCCTGCCACCAACCCTTTCCCCAGGGCATGTGCATTACCTAAATAGCATGTTTTTTTAGTGACACTTTAATGTGCACTAAAATAGGTTAATGCATATTAAAGAACACATGTAGATGTACCCACATTGCATCTTTATGATTTTTTTACATGGCTTTGTCAAAGAAACTGAGGAATGTATACTTAAGGAAAAGGGACTACATGCAACTGCTAAGTATTTCTTGCCACTGTGTTACTAGAGCAAGAACAATTGCCAGTTTCAAATGCAGGCAGAAGGGACTGTTGTTGGGATAGATACCCAAGTTGTTATCTTCCTGTAATGGAAAAATCAACCCCACAATACTGAAGGCATCTCAGAAAAAAGCGCCATTATCTGGATGAATTCCAGATTCCCTAGAAAAGAAAGAAATTTCTAGAGGATCCTGAGACTCATCACCATTTGTTTGGGACAATGCTGATTGGAGGGGAAGGGAGGACATGAAGTGGCTTGGAGGTATATAGGGGCTATCTATGAGATAATCATGGTCTTTAAATTATCCAAGGCTTTGGGGGAGGCCAAGTCCCTAGTGGTCAGGGCTGGCAGGATCAGAAGGAAGGCTGATTTTGGAAATATATGCAAGATTCTAAGGCCATATATGTGCAACCGTATGGTATGTGGTGTCACAGATGCATCTGCCATACCATACATACATTCAATTGTTCTCCACGCTGCAAGGGAGCAGTGCAAGGTGTGTGTGTGGTGGGGGAGGGAGTACCTGGGGTGGGGGCAGCATGCGCCTCTTGAAACCGGAGCCTGGCCAGCCAGAGCCATACTCCAGCCACCAGCCAGGCTGTGCAAAGCAGGATCACCTCTGTTGCAGCCCTGGGAGGCCCCCAGGACCCCAGGTAAGGCTGCTGGGGCCAGCCCAATGCTGGCCCCAGCCTCCCCTACCCCATCCAGGGTAACCTGCTGCATGCAAGATGGTACATGGCACAGGTGTTCCCCAGGGACAAGGTATCCTGCTGCTAGTTGTCCCCAGGAACCAAACGTCCAAGCATGTGTGGAGACAGCCTAAGGGTTTCTAGATTGTAGCGAGATGAAAGGATAAGAAACTTTACTGGTCTCTTTGTGTTGCCTTCAAACTATATGGCCAATTTTTCTTGTATAATTTTTTTTCCCTATACGATAAATATTTACATTGTTTTGTATCATTGATTGCATGGAGTAAAGTGTGACCTCAGCATGATTGATATTCCAGGCTAGTCAAAAATGTAGAAAAAGGAACCTAAAATTCTTCCCCAATCACAAAGGAAGGTACCAAGATCCTAGAGATTCTCATGCTGCAGTGGTGAGGTCCACTATAAGGGCAGTTGAGCTGAGGCTTGAAGAGATAAGGAGTTATTCCAGAGCAAACCTTGGTATGTTCCTTGGGACAAATGGCAGGACAGTGGGGAGAACCTTGGGGTTTGTGACCTTTTGTTGTTGGTGACTTTATGCTGAAAGATGACTTGTCTACAAGGTATTCAGTGTAAGAGATTTGTAAAACAGTTTTTATCTTGCTTTAATATCACATCAGAAAAAAGATCAGAAAAAAATTGCACTGTTTAATGATTTTCAAAAGAGCTTGATTCCTAAATATAAATCTTTTTTCTCTGGAGACATGCATATCTGCCATGTGGGAATATCTGTAAGTGTGACTTTCTACCCTCAATGAAGTCAATAGCAGTTATAACATTGACTTCATTTGAACCAGTATTTTTCCCTTAGACTTCCTAAGTAAGAAGATATCATTCTTAAAGTAAGATAGAACCTAATTTATTCACTTTCTTCCTACTTGTGGTTTTACAAACAAGGTCACTGTAACAGGATGTCAGATTCTAAGAGTTTTATGGGAGTATAGGATTCCACTGCAGAGGTCCTCTAAACTCAGATGTTAGCCACCAGAGTCGACACAAGAGCTGTTGAAATGTCTCTTTGAAGCTGGGACAGAGTATGTTCTGCAGAGAAAAAGGCAAATCTAGGAGGAAAGCTACATTTAAGCTTATATGGATTTAGTGATACGTTTGAGTTAATGATAAAGAATACATTTTGATTTTACAGTGTTTGTAGATGTGTTTCAAAGCAGTGTGAGTAGTGGTAGATTCAGATGAAAAAAAATCACTGTCTAAAGGGGGTAAGTGGAAGGTGTCCATAAATGGATACTAGCACAGGAAAAAGCAGCAATAGGCTTGGTTTCATCAATAGACCTTAATGCTATTTAGGAAGGAGCAGCAGTAATACAGCAAGCTTAGACTTAGCTTAGTAATATAGCAAGCTTGGAAAAAAAAAAACCAGCACCAAAATGTTGGCAATAGCTTTTACAGAGCATATCAGCTACTTGCACCAGAACTTCAGTAATTCCCTTGAAAGACTTGTTGTGTTTTGTGTGTTGTTGTAGATGTTATTAATAAAGAAAACATTAATTTTTGTGCTCTATCCTCAGGTATCCCTTAATATTTATGGAGAACAATAAAATGTACAACATACTAACTTAGTGAAGTTTAATTGGATGCCACTGCAATAAGGAAATAATAAAACACTGTAACATTTTTTGTAATTTTGAATAAATTATGCAAAATAGGAATGTGGCTGATGTGATTTTTTATATTTATTTAACAGGCTCTCTTTAGGACAGTAGCTATGATGGTTCCTGATTATGCCATGATTGCAGAAATTGTCCTGTATTCTTGTGGATTTGTTACTGCTCGACCTCTGTCTGTGAAAATTGTAGCTACATATCGTCTGTGTTCAGAGCAGTTGTCTTCCCAACATCATTATGATTATGGTATGAGAGCAGTGAAGTCAGTGCTTACAGCGGCTGGTAACTTAAAGGTAAAAGATTTTTGCCTTTGTTTTGGAATCTAGTATCTTAATCAGAAAACTTTGTTTCATGTTTATAGCAGAACAATTTGGTCACACTTTTCTATACGTTTTCAAGTGGACCTTTGTGATTTATATCCCTATAAACACTATTAATTTGAATCATACAAATAGCTAAAACTTTGTGCAGCCATGAAAATATAGGGAAGAATATTATAGGATTCAAATTTAGAAATCACAAAGCATTCCTGGAACTAATCAATTTGTGATGTGCACATATAGGAATCACACATGGACTGAAAGGAAAAAATATTTCTGTACAACTAAAATCAGGTTATATCTGTGTCTGTGGTATGTGCTAGCTCTGCAAATTTGATAGAATTTTGGTACCACACTATAAGCGATCATCATAGCCACAGGAGAACACCTAGCTCAGTCCAATTTCTCCTGACCCCTCTCCCTCCAGACTTGGTGAGTCAAGGGGAGTGAGACATATTTTATTTAGTTTTATTCTTTATACGTTCCTATCGGGCCCACCTTGCAATAGTATGGGAACACTTCCAGTAGTGCATTAAACATTGTGAATTATTTCTGTCATATATGACTTTAATCTTTTTCAACCTCTCTGTGGTCAAGGGTGAGACAGATACTTGTATGCACAGTGGGCATGTCTACATGTTCATTAACATGCTTTAGGCAATGCGCATTAAATCTAGTACCTCCATTGTGAAGCACTAGAGAAAGGCATATTAGCCTATTTTAATATGCATTAGCTAAAGAGTATGGTTTTTGTAGTGCTTTCATGCACATTAAAGTAGTTTAATGCACATTAACGTGTACATGTGTACACATGCACCCAGTGTGGTTGTTTTTGTTTCTGTGCAAATGAGGGCTTGGCTTGTACAGTGGAAGAATGGATGCATTTTGCATGAATTATTTGTAAATATGCAAGCTCTCCTACCCCTAACTTCTACCTGTACTGTCTAATATATTTTTATAACCTGAGAGATGGACCTGAAGTACAGTTTTATAAAAATGTCATAGCAAAACTTATCTCTGGGATCCTGAAGTGAAAGGGGGGAGCTGCCAGTCCAGTTTCACATGCATGTGCAATAATATCAGAATGTAAAGACTTTATATAAGTTTATAAATCTACAGCCAGAACATATATTATTCTCAGGGGACCTGAAATCTACAAAGAATATATACAAAATGCACTATGGCACCTGTTTTTATTTTAAAAATATATTAACACTAAATTTATACTATCATAATTTTTAGCTGAAATATCCATCAGAAAATGAAGAAATTTTACTCCTTCGATCCATTATAGATGTAAACCTGCCTAAGTTCTTGTCCCATGATCTACCACTTTTTGAGGTAAGAAGTTAAAATATATTTTGATAATGTAAAACAGCAACTATATATATTTAGTAATGTAGAGCAGGTGCCAGACAAATGGGCTAAGCAGTATTTTAATCTAGCATTTAAACAGAATCAAATGTAGTCTTCACTGCTCCTCATCAAGCATTGAATATAGTTTTCTCTAGGAAATGCTGCATCTGATTCTAATAGCTTTTCAAACATAATTTTCCAGCTAAAAATGATAATAATCCATTTATATTGTCCTTTATTTAAAAATTCTCAAGTGCTTTAGAATTATACTTTTGAGGTCAGTAAATACTATTATTCTTATTTTTCAGATCAGGAAAGTGAGATTTTTTAGCTTAAAGACTGTGATGGAGAGTCAGATAGGTTTACTGGCACAGACTGTCTCCTGTCCTGAGTAGACCTTGGTGCAGGAATAAGTTGAGAGAAACAGTATGGCCTGGGATTTACTGTAAACAGTATTATATTTAGGAGAGCAAGCTCGAGAGATGGAAGTCAGTTATCTGTTTTTTCCAAGCAAAGAAGCTGTTTACCTTGGAGGGAGTTTAATTTTAGTTCCTGCCCTTGTAAAGAAGGGTGATTATCTTTAATTGGGGAAGACTTCATCTTCTGCCTCACTCCCAAGATTCTGCTGTGGCTCAGAAAAACTGGTGATGCTCACTCTCTGGAACCAGATTTCTTCCACAGCAGAGATATGCGCAAAAATAGCATTTAAAAGGGCAGAACAATATATTTATTGACACCCTAACATTGGTGACTAAAATAGTGTTTTTGAATAAGGTAAAAGGAAAAGAAAAGTCACAATAGGTCCATTTCTCTAATCACTAAAATTGAGTTTCATTGTAAATGGATAGAACAAGAGAATTCTAAGTTCACAATCTGTCATTTATCAGATAATGGGCTTTTTAGGTATGTTATTTGTGGAACACAGCTTTGTGTCCAGAATTGACATTGTTGATCTATCTCAAATAAACTGTAGCCTATTTTACTCTCTGTCTCAAAAATATCTAACATCACTCTTGTTTTGCTACATTATGCAAATCTTATTTTTACATCTATAAAATACTAGAGGTAAAAATGCAAAATCTCTGTTTTTATATTAAAAGTTTTTATTTAAATAACTTCACTTACTATGATGAAGTATTGATAAATGAGAATATAGGCATTTTAACCTTCTAACTAAATGATGCCAACTGGTTTAAGCCTGCTTTGATAAAATCTAATGTTGCCATAGAGTAATATATTATTTCATATACTCGATTCTTCTGTGATGATAGTGTTAAATATATGTTATAGAGAATGCATGAAATGTACAGTTATAAATTACAAGGCAAACTTTACTCAGAAAAAGTATGCTGAGCAACTAAACTAAACACAATGGCACTTCTGAGTTTGTATTCATATCCTCCATGTTCTAAATAGGCCTTATAGATTTTAGTACTTTGTGTTTTTCATTTCAGATAAATATTTTTCTAATTCATTTGTTAACAATGAATAGTTCAATTAACAGCAGCAGAATCCACTCATGATTAGACTATTTGTCTGTACAAGTCACATAATAAAGGGAGTATATACAAAAATTACACCATAAATAGCAATAGAAAAGTGATAAATATACATTGTAATTTATTCTCTGACAGGGCATTACTTCAGATTTGTTTCCTGGTGTGAAATTGCCAAAACCAGATTACAATATTTTACTGGAAGCTATCAAATCAAATTGTGATGCAATGAATCTTCAAATGACAGAAATTTTTGCTATGAAGATCTTACAGATATTTGAAATGATGATTGTTCGTCATGGTTTTATGATAGTTGGAGAGCCATTTGGTGGAAAGACATCTGCCTATAAAGTTTTGGCAGCAGCTTTGGGTGACATTTGTGAGAAGGTAACTAAATATTTTGACAAACATTTTTATCAAAAAAGTTTGCCAAGTACCAAATGCTGTTATATAATATTCAGTACTTGCATAGGAGAGAGTGAATGGAGATGTGAAAAGGAGTCTTCATGAGTTTCCATGTGTAAAATGTCTTTATACGCCTCTTTGGAGTATGTCATAACATCTAAATAGGGACTTCTGGTTAATAACAACTGTTAAACTATAATAACATATTCTTATGTTTAGAGAACTTATTGTTGGGACAGTGGTCCAGGAAAGTATAGTCACATTTTTTTCTGAAGGATATGTTAAACCGTTAGTGTGAGAATATGCTACACAGAAATTTTAAAACCTTGGCTATAACCATTTAAACAAAAAAAGGTTTTTGTTTACTCTAATTATTTCCCCTTATATATCAAACTTATAAGGAAATAATCTTTTTTAGCCTACAAATTCATTATGCTGCCAGGGCAGAAGAACATAAAATACTGATTTTTTTTTAATTCTTGAGGAAGGTTTCCTCCTCAGCTAGTCTCTAGATACACATTTCAAATGATCAGTCACTTCTGTTGAAACACGTATTTCTAAATCAGGGCTGCCCTACTTCTGGACAGTGGGGCCTGCATTCCACATAAGCCACAGACCCCCAGACCACATGTCACATGGGCTACAGTTGCCTGAGGTTTTCCCTGCTATGCATCCAATGCAGCCTTCCTCCTTTCCATGCATGGGTTTTGTTTTTTCTTTGTTTTGTTTTTTTGTGCCATTAGCAACCCAGCTCTTCTCCAGCCTATGTGCATCATGGTTTTACTGTCTGGCTCCAACCCTGCCCTTGACCTGTTCCCAGGAGCAGAGCGAGGAAGCAGAAGCCACAGGACAGAGGGAGAGACTGGAGACTTTTGCTGCCCTAATGAGAAGTAGTGGCAGCTGGATGTGGGCCTGGGGCGCCATTTGAACCCAGGGGTGGGAAATTATTTGGGCTGGAGGACCACTTAGGGAGTTCTGGTGAGTTGTTGCCCTAAGTGGCTCTGCCCCAAGCGTCAGCCCTGGTCCTGCATTGTCAATGCCCCATGATCCCAGCTCTGGGGCCTCCATGGAGACTGGCTCAGAACCCATGCAGGCAGGACATGCTCAGCCAGGCAGCTGGGATGGGGCCATGGACAGGAAGGGACTGACATACAAGAGTAGGATGGGTGGGTGGGGTTTCATAGTTTCATAGTTGGTAGGATCGGAAGGGACCTGA